GCGACGATCAACAATCTTCCTCCGAGAACTATCCGACCAATGCTTTCAAAGGTTGACAGCAGCAGACACCTCGGTACATGCATGGAAGTTTCATATGCCACTCCCGTTGACGGCCTAAACGTGCTCCGAGGTCTCCAGCTTCGGATGTGGACCCTGTGTCGTCATAGTATCACATGCTAACGTCCTGTCACAGTGATAACTGCTTTCAGCTACAAAATCTGACGGTCAGAAATAAGCACGCTGACCGGAAGGAATCATTTGCGGTATTCTATTCATTCAGTTGATAGGTACCAGAACGGCGTCGGTCAGTTGTTGTGACTGGCCGTGCTTTTCGACTGCCCTGCACTATCCAAGTTACATCGCGATTCCGAAAGCGCAAGCTTGATTTGTGACCTCGGAGTTCCTAATTCCTAGTTCACGTCCTCCTTCCGCTTCGTCGACACTTACCATAGATCTACCAGCTACAGTTCTATACACTCAGATGCATTGGGTGCACGGAAAAAATTAGAGACTGGGATCCACAAAAATGTGCTTATCACAGGCAGCACAGAGGCGCTTATCGTCCACAGTTCAATAAGAACCAGCGGGATGCTGACTTGCACGGGAATGGAGGCATCTCCGGACCTCCTGACTGGATTTACATGCTCCATAAGAGTGAGAGGGTATTTTGGAACGAAAACCGACTGTGAGGATAGCAACGTCTCAGTCTTCTCGGACCAGGTCAAATTTGGAAAAACCGCCCCATCCGGTACTTGCAGTCAGCCTTGGAGGCATACCTCAGGTTCACCCTTCCCAGCCCCATTTCCATATAAGATTATTGGATGTAAATAGACAGCTGCGTCGTGTGATCGTATAACTGCTCTCAGGCAATGTTGTTCAGTTCTATTCGTATCTCACATTATATTAGAATTTCCGCCCCTATGTGGCATCGTATCTGTTACACACCCAGCGCTTTTACGCAACCATATAATAAGATATGCTTTTACCAATTGACCCCATGCAATCCGAACACCTTCAATAGATGCTGGACATTTATTTAGCTCTTTCCATCTACGGGATTTTCGTTCAAAGATCAAGATCAAGGTCAACAGCAGGCAGACAATCTTGAGCCCATTCAGACTACTCACAGCGTCATGTCGAGACACATCGAGTGCGAGAACCTACCGGAACCTTGTGGTGGAGGTGGTCTCCCTGTGGTCGGATCAGGCCTGCACGCCGTGGAGCACGAAGATGAAGGGAAGGAAGCCTGGGTTTATCAACATGTCGTTGCGGGAAACCCCACGCTCAAAGAGAACCAGTCGAAATCGTTCGGAGGTTTGAAACCGTGGCTCTTCTGGTCCATATTGGTCGTTGTAAGCATTGTCGTAATCGCTGCGTCTGTGGGTGGAGCTGTAGGTGGCTCTCTAGCAGTCAAAGGGAACAGGAAAAATGCGCCACCATCTTCTGTGCAGAGGTAGTTCCCCCATGCCTAGAGAAACCCATTGGCAAATGTATACTAATGTGTGAGCAGCGCGCCAACCGCTATACTTCTGTCCAGCACAGGCGGCTCAAGTGATCGAACGTCCTCCGGATTAGGGAGCCTCTCTTCCTCTAAACCCACGAGCGTACCCCCTTCCCTTGCAACCACGGACTGCCCAGCCAGCAACAGTACATCGTTCACACCCAGGGCACCGGAGGGCAATCCAGGACAATACGAATTCATCAAGCATTGTGGGTTTGACACCGACGGGCGGACACTGATCAAGGCCTTCGTCTTAGACCTCAATACATGTCTTGCGCTTTGCTCGAATTGGAACTACCTACAAGCTGGGGGTGATAGGTGTAATTCAGCGGCATTCAAGGTTGACGAGCCACCGCCGGGGAATTGCTGGGCAAAGACAGGGACCTCATTGAAGCTAAGGGATGGGGTGACTGCTGCTCTCCTGCAATGAAGGGGCTGGGGAAGGTACTAGGCAAGGTACCCGAAGATGATTGGTGATGTGCAGTGTGGAGAATGCGGAGGCCGGAGGTATTCTGGTACTCCAGGATGGAGCTTGTTATCGTCCTCTAGAGCGCCCGAGCGGCCTTTGCGCGCTGTGCTTTTGGCGCGTCGGAAATTGCGTATATTGCCAAGTTACCATGACAGCAGAATTGAGTTCGTGAATATGTCGTGTCAGACGGTCGTGAACACGAAAAGACATGTTGTTGCTGGCAAGAACATGGTTCAGGTGGATCCCGAAGTCGTCCCGTCGCGGTTCAGGTGACAGGCGCACGCTAGATAAGCGAAGATGCCGACAGCCTCCTCTTTTTCACCCAATCGTGGACCCATCGCCGTCTGCATGCACTTCGTCACACGTCACTGGTGTGATTGCAGCTCGTTTCGTCGTCTGCCCGCTCTTAGTGGTTCATGCTGAACCGCCAGGGCTGCCTTTCGCGGCGAGGCTGGGCTAGATAGCAGCAAAGCTTGCCTGCGCCATGCCATCTTCCTTGCTGAGGGCGTGCCCGTCAACTCGTCCAGATTATTCCGTCTACTCTCCCAAGGCCATAAACATCGCCGGCCCCGCTGCGAGCTTGTCCGAAGCTGATCTGAGATGAGACTGCGCGGACGCATAGCAGCATAGACTACCAAGAGGCTTCACCGCTCGCGGGATCAACATTGAGCGCATACCAGAAGGGCAAACATGCTCAGTCTTTGTTGAGATGGCGACTCTATCTCCTGGTGCGTGTGGGCATTTGGGGCTATTGGGATATAGCGCGCTGACCGAGTCGCATTCATAGACGTCCGCCATTCTACCCTCAAGTCGCTCAAACTGACCTGCCCCTCCGCCGAAGTTATTGAAGAACCGCAATCTGCATCGACCCTTGAATCACCTGTAATGGAGCAAGAAGGCTATCCATTCCCCGAAGTCGGAGACGAATGGTCTGACGAGGAGGTCCTGATACCCAGGCATAGACGGAAGGCGCCCTACATACCACCGCTCAAATTCGAGAAAGTTACAGCGACATCGGCCGAGACATCATCCGACGAATCATCGGCATTGGGCAGCCCGCAACGACTGAGCGCGACTATCAGTCCCCTCGTACCGCCCAAAAGCCCATCGCGACCAGACGCGTCGAGGGGTAACAGCCAAGATGATCTCATACAGCGGTATTACCAAGTCACAAAAGAGCGAGATGCGCTGAGGAAACAGCTGCAGAGGAGGAGCATGGGTCCACATGGGATGCCTGCAAAACGTTCGATCGTGTACAAATCTGAAGAGAACACTTTGATTGAAGAGCTACTCGCGTTGCGATATGAGATACGAGTATGGAGTGAGGAGTATTTCGGCGGACCCATCAAAGCCACGAGCAAGCGACCATATCTCACTAGAGCGAAGGAACTGTTTGGGAACCTCACGGACAACTACCAGACGTATCTGAAGCACCCAGAGGAACGGCCGCTCCTCATCCAAGCATACGTTTGGATGAAGCTGCAGCAAAAGATATTCAACAACTGGCAGAAGGGCAGTGGATATGTATGGGCAGGCAAACTGGGAGACAGGAAGCTGCGCGAGATTAACGACACATTGCGCAAGGGTACGCTACCCCGCCCCCGGTGAATCTCTAATGATTACAATGCTAACAAGGTACAGCTGTTAAGAACGAAGCCCAAGCCGAAGAATACCACCAATGGCGAGCCATGACCGTAAACCTCCTAGTCCCTCAGGTAGATGGCAAATGGCGTCCCACTTTCGATGCCGCGCCCGTCCTAAAACGAATATCCCGTTTCTGCAGTCGCATGCGCCGCAAACTACGGCCCTGGTCTACACAGTCTTTGCGCTCAGGGAAGGAACAACTGGGTACCATCATTTCAGCATCTGTTGCGCTGGATTTGAAGATGAAGCGCCAGCTCGCCGACTATCGCTTCGTTACATTCACCGGCGGTAAGAAAGATCAATACTGGGGCTACGGATTCTACGACAGTGAAATGGAGGACGTGTATGAAGATGATGACGAGAACGGCAGTGGTGGATATGGTGTCAATGGCAGCGCAAAGGGCAGGCGAGTAGAATTGGCACTTGCGCCTGCACTCGAACGATGCGGTAATGCTAATGGACATGTCTTCGATCAGAGTTTCATGATGGTAAAGGCGGATGTGAGTTGTAAAAGATTAGAGAAACCCGAGAAGAAGAAGAAACAGCAGCCTAGGTCAAGAGGTGGCAGTAAGGGCTTTGGGCTGTGGGGGAAGTGAAACTAATGGATGTATGAGATGAATATTAACACACCACTCCGCTTTGAACACATGACCCTAGCGCTTGAACATCCGTAATGAAAACACAGGTGGGCTGCTTTACAATCTACTCAGTCAACTACTACTTCAACCTCAATACCAGACTCTCCCTCCTACTAATACCCAAGATTCAATCTAGTCTCTGTCCCGAGATCATGAATCGTTTTATCGAAAAGCCACGGTCTCGTACTTCGAACAACGAGACGGTCCAGCCATTCCGGCTACTTGGTCTCCCGACCGAGATACGTTTCATGATATATGAGCACCTCAGTGAGTGCTTTGTTCCCATTACTAGTTCCCTCACCAACTCATCAAAAGTTGTAGTTGAGTATCACAGTACTGATAATTCGCTACCACTGCGCAATTCGATTGGAATTTGGGTTCGGATTGATCAAGGTATCTTGCGCACGTGTCGCCTTGTTGAGGCTGAGGCATCACCCGTGGTAAAGCGATTGTACGCACAGGCGCAGCTGGTGAATATGCGCCTGATGGCTGAAAAGCGTGGTTGGGATGCCTCGAGGACTACAGTGCATCACTTTGCCTGCCAGTGGTATGAATTGTTTTTTCTTCGCTTCTATTGATGGTTAAGTGGAAGAACGTCTACGGAGAGCTTAGGGAATGGACGGTCATTGGTATAGGTAATCTACCATGGAGACAGAGTGGATCAGCTTAAGGCTTGGTACCGCACAAAGAGGTGGATAAAGCATGTTTACTTGCTGTAATATTATAGTGTTACAAAAAGATGCGCAGCCTACTCCGACTTCGGAACAGTGTGAACCTCCCAGTCAGCGCCGTCCGGGCCCTGGACTTTACCATGTGGTTTATCGTGTGTGAAAGGCCCTCCAGCGTTCGTGACACCACTCTCCAAAACCCCCTTCTTCTCGCCCGTCCGCAGGTATTCTAAGAAGGCGACCGAGGCGTCGATGTACTCCTTGAGAGCAACCTTGCTACTTAGCGTCGTACCGGTGACCATCTTCATGATCCAAGGAACGATAAGAGGCGCATCGGTACAAGAGGGGTGAGCGGTACCCAACAAGGTCATGAACCACCCCTCCTTAACGTTATCGATGATATTCTTCACGGCCTCAAAGTGCCATCCTTCGTCGTAGAAAGCCGTCTGCTTTTCTGTCCATTCTCCGCTCTGCATGACCAGTATCGGTACGTCGATGTCCTTGTTCAGGGGTCCAGATCCCTTGCCGGGGTCTAAGGCAATACCACCATTGATAGGCATTGTCTTTGAGCCAGCAGATTTCAGTGCTTGCATAGCCCCCGTCGCGCCGTATGAGTGACCTCCGACTGTGACTGCTGACAGGTTGAGGCGGTTCTTGAAACCAGGCAAAGCATTCCGCGGTGAGTCGGGCTTGAGGTTCACGACCGGTGCGTCACCTGCATTGAGTTGCGCAAAGAGTTTGATGGTTTCGCTGATCTCAGCTTCACGGAAGTTGAGCTGTGCGGCCTTGAGGTCGAGGTCGGTCATCGGCGGATCGGCTTCTAGGTCCTTGAGCTTCATGTGCCAGACTTTTCGCTCCGTACCATCAGGATGGTGGACGATGGTACCGGGTCCGCTACCGTCACGGTGTTCGACGGCAGCGACTACGTAGCCGTGGCTTGCAATGCTTCCCAGGTAGTGTGCATAACTCTGACTCATTCCTGCCATGCCATGCGTAAAGACAACGCAGGGCAAACTTCCAAGACCGTCGCCTCGTTTTAACTCTTTATGTTCTTGCTCTGCTGCGCTCATGATCTTTCCAAATTCGCCTGCACCACTACCATCTTCGCCCAGAATTTGCTCAGCACTGGAAAGGATTGGTGCATCAACGACACCTGGAATGACTGTGCTTGAACCAAGGAGCCAGAGACCGAAGGTGAAGACCGAAGATAATTTCGACACTCCGGCAAGACGAGCATAGCCTTCGCCAATAAGCGAGACAGGTTGAGGAAGCCACGGTCGTGCCCATGGTCGCTGGCTAGGCGACGCTAGAGGCAGAGAGGATGGGTAATATAAGGTGATGGCCAGCGTATCCAGTTGGAAAGCCTTCTCCCCAGTCGCTTTCAGTATCGCGTCATGGATGGTTCTCTTTTGGACCTCTGTCTCAACATCCAGTATGCCAACCTCATGGGGTCCGGTATAAGGCGGAAGCGGCGAGGTAATTGGGGTCAAGCTAAAGAACAAGAACCAGAAAAGTACGCCCGCAGATGTGATGAACAAAAGACGCCGCGGTGTGAGGCGTGAAGGCCTGGGTACAAAGCGGGCAGGCCCGGGTACAAAGCGGCTCATCCGGAAGGCCATGATGCGCGGCTTGTATTGCAGTCTACCAAAGAACTTGAGAGGGCGTGCAAGGTCTAATGAAGGGCGCGAACTGTGACCAGAAGTGATATTTGGGGTTCCAGATATATCAAGTAGTAGGCGCGGTCCACATGGCAAGGCGTATGAAAGTAGAGTGTCGCGTCGCGAAAGTGTTGGCCACTGATGACGTATGCGACATCGGAGATAAGACCGCCCAGACGCAGCACGCAACTAGTTGACACTTAGATCTTTCTGACACTCACGATACACGTCTTTGAGAAGCTGAACGACATCCCGCCGGCTACCTTACGACGTGTTCCGCTATCTTTGAATAAGACTCATCGATCCGAATCTGTCGAAAGTTGGGTCGATTGTTGATGACAAGCGCTGATGTCTGCGTACCTAGGTAAGGTTCGCAGTGCGACATATCTACCTAGGTATTTCTTCCAGGATTGCCTCAAACCCTCACCTTATTAGACGAAAAGGAATGACGATAAGACTGAGTTGTGTAGAGACGGGTCTACTAGCGAGGATGAACCTACGAGCCCGACTTGAACAACGCAAAGAAAGCACGACTGCAGGCTCATACTGTGGTGTAGTACTCGAGGAAATATTAGAACGAACGCCCCATCGATGTTATCACCTTGGAAGGCTGTCATGATAAGTTGGCGTATAGATGTTTCTAGTACAGCATGCTGTATCGGCAGGTCATTGAGTATCAATCGCAGTAACTCTACTATTATACTGCGGCACAGCTGCGCGGCCTTGATGTTAGGATCTTTGTTACTTAATCATTACAACTTAACGTGTAACTATTGTACAGAAGCTGCTTTAAGCTGGACTAATATCTAAATTGACACTAAAGCTAGCTGGAAGTTAGAGAGACATACAGAAGTTGTTGGAACTGGTGCGATCGTCATGGTTGCCCTGGGCGAAGACAACTCATCAGATGCAATGCAAGTCAAGGTACTTACTCTTCTGGAGATGGACATGGAAAATGCAGCAGCTGTCGATCAAAAGAGTAACCGGCGAAGTCCATACACCTCGCATAGGCTGAATGAATGCCTCAGGAAGCCTCACAAACGTTCCACCGCACATGAAACAGCATCTCGAACGATATTCAGGCTAGTCGTTCCGTCTCTTTGTGGACGATCACCGCGCTCCTACCCTCGATTCGTCACAATGTCATCCTGAAGTCGCTTACACGTGCATATGCATGCGCACGCTTACTGATGCGTGCGGAGCACATAAAACACAGGTCCCATGTAAGAGCACAACCGACTTCGCTTCGAGCACGTTCAGCGGCACGGGTAATTCCAAACGACTTCTCTATTACCCGAGCCACACACTCTCTACGCCTTGGCCCATAGTAGGACCTATAACGAACGTCCCGCTCCGTGTGTATGCCCTGGTAGTTGACTTGCATGTGGCCGGGGTCTCTGAAGACCTTTACCCGGACGATCGTCTTCGGTTCGGTATCGCTATGGACTTGCGCGCATTTCATTCCGGGGTTCGGATGGAGGACGATGTGGTTCCTGCATTTGCAATCTGTTGGTATTAGGCGCGGTTGGTTGCGCATAGAGCGGCAGTATAGGTAGAGGACCGGATCGAGTCTATGCTCCGGTGAGCAGAAGTTCGTCAGTACTCATCTTCAAAATGGATGCTTTGGTGGAGCTGCCATGTGGATAGAGTGGATCGTTCCCGGACTGCTTCCTATTTCAGGATCCTTACTATTACCACCCCAACATTAAGGACATGGTATTTGTCAGATCAGTATGTGCGCTTTGCTGCTCGCCTCCCCAGTTTCTGCGATACGCGGGTGCATAGGCGAACAGAGTGCAGGGTAAAAGCCCTTGACGCCGCGGCCATCGTAACCATTTTTAACATGCTTTCCCAAACGGTCGCGTGTCCGCGGTGGACTGACTATCTGATCGATCTGATGGCTTCCAAAACCGTCAAAGGTCCTTAGAGGGCTAGACGCCGATGACCCACCAACAGCTAAGTCACCTCCGATACCAACACAAAAATCTCCACTGCATGTGTCTGTCGTTAGTCATTCGGTACCACGACACCGGTCTCTTTGGGCGACTTCATTGCGAAAAGTCCGCCTCGAGGCATCGGCCCCGTAACCAATTGAGACGGGAAACCCACTTGTTTACATCCCCTTCAGGACGACGCGCTGCGTCTCGCCACATGCGCCTATACGCTGCAGCCGCCAACATTAATTGCGGCGTTGCGTCAATCTGCACCATTTCGTAGCCAAATGAGTTTCTGGGTAACACGGCATAGATGGAAAGCACGCGACAAAAGGCTGGAGAACGGGTCCCGTTGCGCAGTTCACGTTAGACCAGTTCAAACCCATGCTCTATCAAGGGAACAGGTGTTGAACTATCCGGACTACACTGCACGTCTTCTCGCGGCTATGTGAAACTCTCGTGTTGCTCATTCAGGCTTGCGCGCGTTCATATTGATGACGTGACGTCGCGTCGCGCTCAAGTGACGGTATTGCTTCCAAGGTTTTCCCTGAGTTCCCGTCCAACCTGCATGTACTACGCCAATGGCGCGGGCGGACAAGCTCATGCAGGGCGGGCCTGCGAATCCGATGGAGAGCTGCGGCGCGGATCGTAAGGGTCGGATCTGTGGATCGTCGAAACGGTGGCGACGAAATCACAGGGAGTTGCGTATGTCAGGGTGACGCACCATGTACGTACTTGGTCCAGCGCAGCTGAGTATAGGCAAATGACAGGCAGAAGCGTTGAATATCACAAATGTAAAAGTGTTGAATTGTTTGATTTGATTTGTACTGCAACGCTCGCAAGCATCTTTCAAAAAGAGAGCAAGATCGACTGTGACAACTGTCGAGTGTGATGATTCCAAAAACAGCTAGTAATTACTTCTCGCGCTCTTTGCGAAAGTTTCCTCTCCTCTGTAACATAGGAGATAATTTGTGCGCGGATATGGCAAGATAGGTCTATGTAATGAGACAAAGGTGCGCCGAAAAATGCATGCTATCGAGCTGGTGAAAAGCTGACGCAAAGGGACCCGAAATGCGCGAAACTAAAAAGAGACCTTCCGACTTTTAGTCTTCCGTCAATGATGGGACTGCTAGTAGATATGTAAGATGGGAGAGAGCATGACTCGTCAATATGTACATCGAATGCAATTGTGTGTCGTTGATAGCGTGACATGAAGCATAGCCAGCCATGCTTCATGAGCCTCCTGGGCTTCGATTCAGGGACGCGGGGTGGATGGAGTTATTACTGTGTGCGTCGTGGGTGAGGTCGCTGATGGTCATGGCTTGATTTACATCTGCGAAGTATTTTATATGTTGCGTGGGGGTGTCGGGAAGAGAGACAACATAGGGGAGCGAGACTGCGCGGTGGTCGCTGCGCGGTTACGTGGCTTGGTTGGTTGATCCTCCTTCGGAGCAGAGACGGAAAGGAACTTGGCGGCACCTTCAGACAGGGCGGGTTTGTGCTGGCGCGCTGGTGCACGGGTGGAACGCTGCGACCCTTGGCGCGCAAGGTCGAGCGACGACTTGAGCTCCTCTTCGACAGTAGAGTGATTGGCACGCTGTGAGCCACGTCGAGCCAAATCAAGAGAGGCTCTGAGCTCGGTCTCAATGGAGCTGCGAGATTGCTCCTCATCTTGAGGCGCTTCGTCGTCTGAAGCGAAGAATGTTCGCCCTTCCAGGGTACGCCCTGGTGGCGTAATGTCATCGTCCTCTTTGTCTTCGTTAAGGAACGCAATCTGCTCTGAAAACTGATCAGCTGCAAGACTGAAGCCAAGCGACTTGCGGCTACGACGGGACGGAATCAGCTCTGGGACACTGCCGGCAGAGCTTGCCGAGCGCCTCACAGGGGAGCTCCAAAGACCGCAGCTCTGAGAAGAGGACATGAGGCTGCTGTCATAAGAGCTTCGCCTACTTAGTCGGACGTGACTGCTACGCGCCGAGCTCGTCGTACTTCGACCGGCGTCGAGCATTGGAAAGTGCCGGTCGGACGCGGCGTACTCGTCAAGCAAGTCCTCATATGTGACTTCTCGTGTTTCCTTGTATTCCTGCGGGACAAGAAGGGACGGGCTTAGCATGAAGCCAGTGTCGCCGCTAAAACGGTTGGCATGGAAGAATCCTGAGGGTGTCGGTGGCAGGCCAGTGCTGAGGGTGGATGTGGATATCGCAGAAGTCGGAACAAGTTCTGGCACACTCGATGTGCTGGGAACCAGCAAAGATGAGCGGAAATTGTCAGAGGCGAAACGCTCTCGATCAGCGGAGGTGATTCTGGAGTTGCGACGATTGGCTTGCTCAGCAGAAGGAGTGTCGCAACAGCGAACACCGTCATCAGATACTCGATCCCATTCGAAGTCACAGTCAGCTTCTAGAGCGTTGTCGTAGATATAGTCGACATCTTCTTCCCATGACTCCTCTATTGCGCGCCATGTATTTGACTGGCGACGCTGATAAGGTTTTCGAATAGACATCCTCCTCGGCATGCCAAATGAGCCCAGCGTGTCAGACATTTGCGATGAGGGTCGTGAAGCTGAAGGCTCTGCCCTTGGTGAAGCAGGAGACTGACCTCTACCCTGTGATCTAGAGGTAACGGGAGATCGCGGATTTTGAAAGGAAAACGATCCAAAGTAAGGCGATCTCGGCGAAGTCGGGGACTTCATTGGGGGCTGTGGTGCAGGTCTTGGGCTGACGAATCTTTCTGGTTCCTCGACAACATCTGCGAGACTAGGACTGAAGGATGGCGGTGTGGTTGCGTGAATGGCTGAATCATCAGGCGTCGTGACTGCATGGCCAAAGTACGAATCTTCTGATATCTCAGGTAGTATGTCCGGGGTGGACACAGCAGAGAGAGCAAATGAGTCCCAGATACCCGACTCTCGCTTCGACCGCGACAACCTACGCGGACCAGAAGTAGGCTCTTCGTACGCGAACTCAGGTGTACCGAAGGCGGGTCCCAAGGGAAGATGAGGCGACTGTATCGACGATGTGTGCGTATGTTTCCGAGGGCTAGGTTGGGAGAAGCTCTCTATAGATCGGGCTAGGCGAAGGGGTCGTCGCGATATTGGGAAGTGGGGGACAGTTTCGGAATCGTGACGAGGTTCTGGGCTACGAGGGGGAGATGTGAAGCCTAGAGCAGACGTGGATCTCTCTTCTCCATTTGCCAGGTTTTCAGAAGAGAAGTTCCTGAAATGGACGTCATCGGATGGTGTGACGGGCAACTGCTGTTCGAGAGCAGCTATTTGATGTCGGTCGGTGTGAGAAAGGTGCTGGAAGTCGAATGGGCTCGAGATACGGCTAATCAGACTCGTACCTATTGTCACGATAAGCAGAGGGCCTTGGACCAGGGAAGATATCACTTACTAGCATCCTCGCTTCTTTTGCCCTTCCGTAGGATTGATGATCGTCTTTCGCTGACGTCCCCTTCAAACTCATCGACGTTTATCATGGGCGTCTCGCTCAGCCTCTTGCCCTTCTTCCCGCGGAACAACGACCTCCTAGATCCGGTAGACTCTTTATGACTCTTGTTGCTGGTGTGTCGATGTCCAGGTGGTGAGCCATGCCAAGAAGCTTCATGATCAGCCATCTCGGAATGGCTGAGAGACAACAGCGAAGGGGTCATAGATGTCGCAGTATTGCTTCTAGACCGTAGATTGAACACGGAACTTCGTCTAGCCGGATGGGCTCTGTGTTGCTCGGGCGAATGCATGCCAGGATGAGTTGAATGTGTGGAGTACTGCTCTGACCAAAAGTCTGAACTTGCGGTAGGAATGGTAGGCCCAATGGCCTGAGAGTCGACGGATGACTGTCGAGACCGGGAGGCATCGGTTTTATGGAACGAAAACATGGCTTGGGAGCCTGAACGAACCCCAGAAAAATAAAGCCTAACGCAAGCAACGCGAACCGAGCAATGCTAGTATGGCGTGTGCAGGTCCCCACAAGTGGCCGGCAGATGTAGTTATGGCAACAACCATTGAAGTTGATGAGATGATCTGGGGAAACCTGTCTCGCGCACGCGAGCTCGGATGTTGTGAGTTCAGATGCCCGGGTTATACGCCTGCTGGAGGCGTTAGTGATGTATGCGAACGACTTGCCATTGGTACACAAGACCTGAGTTGGAGGGATCGAGGTTGGACGAGGCGAGATGACTGAACTTGGGCCAAGGCTAGGATCCAGGCGTGCCAAATGAGGGTAAAGGTATAGTTGAGATGCAATAGCAACCAAAGTAATATATGCGTACCTGGTCAAGTAGACAACTTATTTGCAGGGGAGGAGAGAACGTAAGAGCCTGAACACGGACCACTGCAGGGCAACGGCTGATGAAGGGGTTCTGCCCTCCGTGTGGGAATAACACGAGGATGCGGTCAAGGAGTTAGGGTCGAGTAAAGGTTGGCGAACTGCACAGACCGAAGTGAGACAAGCGGTGGTTGCGAATGAGAGGGAGTGGTGGACGGTCCAGGTAGCCGAGCAAAGATTCGAGTAAGGATTGTAGTTGCTGGAGAGCGATCATTGGCATATGCCGCAGTATTGCATGCCGTGACACGGGAACAAGAAGCTTTGTGGCCGGCAAAGTAACAGCAAATGTAGGGATGATCTCACTATGTAGGAACATGGCCGGCTTGGACGAGCAGCGGAGAGTATGTGGAGAAGATGGAAGGTGCTCAGTGTGCTCCACCAGGTTAGTGACATCCAGGACGAGCCAGGACAGGGCTCGCTGCGCGCCAGCAGGAGAGAAAGACATGGGTATCTGCCGCTGAGCGACGGCGCCTGAGCATCTGTTAGTGGCTGGGGGATGACGGAAACAGGGGTGCAGGAGACGGGGGATGCCCGACTTCATAAGGCTTGTGAGCCACTGACGATGAGCGCGCAAGTGAACGCGGCCCGACAGGTCGGCCTGCGCAATATAACGTTGCAGGGGCAGATATAGCGGGCGCTGATTGGACGTTGCAGCGAAATAAACGGTTAAATCTGCTGCATATCTGCTCTGACCACGTCCAGGCCCGCTATGCTACGAGGCCGTGAGGTCCAATTTGCTTGGAATGTCGGCCGTATGTTGTTGTGCATCCGAGAGGATTTGGCAACGCGTCGAAAGACGTGTCGTGGCTGGGAAGGTAAGCTCTCGCTGCTGTGTTCGCGGACAACGAAGCTTTCGTAGCACAGCACGCGTAAGATTGTGCTGACAATACGAGCGGGTATCCTCAGTCGGGGAGAGTATGATTTTGGCAGCTACGTACAGCATTTGTGCTGTTAGTGCCGAGTATGCCGGTTCGCGATTTCAGGCGGGCACGGCGCAAATGCGTGCAGGGTTAGGCCTGGTGCTGGGGGCACATGGGTACGCATAAGGCCTAAGCATCAACATGTCTGCCACTTTGGACTGGATCTGTGGCTAAGCTTGTCGACAAGAAGCGCAACTCTAAGTATTGACGCATGTCGTCGTCGTGTGCTGGCGCGGAACAATCAAACTGTCAGAAAGGGATCGCGATAAGCGTCCGAGCAGAAGACGAGAGGCTAGAGCATCGTCCCATCTGCAGATCTTCGCTCGTGAGACGGCGGAACCTGAAACAACCGAAGAGAGCCCCTACCATGGCCGACGATGTGTCCAAGGACTCGATACCCCGCCTCACTCAGACGTCTCAATCTACACAGGGCTCGTGGGCGGATCGATCTGAAATCGCGAACAGCCCTCGTCGAGGTCAAAGTCCATGTGGTGATGTCTCGGGCCCGGTAAGTTCCAAACATGTTTCAGAGCCCCACGACAGCGATGACCGGGTGCTGGCTATCGTGAGTTGTGAGACCCCTCTGATGTGCCTTCCTGGCTGTCCCCAAGAGACTCAGCATGCACAGAGCGCCACCTTGGCGCAGTCGCACCGCCAGCGTAGCATAGCCTTGAGCTTGCGACGGTTCTGGGTACGGCGGTGTTGTAACACGGTCCTTCTGCTCGTATCATGCTGTGATGCAGTCGCGTACAACAGCAGTAAGGGCTGTAGGCCCTCGCATCAGCCGCTGTACCACGGCTCCATCCAAGATTTCCACAAACATGTGTGACGAGCGCCTATCTCTACGCTTTCTTCTTCTTGGGAAATGCGCCTGTAATGAGATCCAATACTTGAGGCGTGAGCCGTGTGGGGGTGGTGGGCCGTCAGCTACTACACCAGCTGCATGGACGCAATGTGAGCACACCGACTGATGTCAAAATGTCCGATGATGGTGTTACCGTCGTTGAGGTTCTTGTGCAGATGCATGAGGGTAGCCGGTCGTCGGCTTGTGATTTCCCCGAGGCTGGAGGTGAAAGCGTGCTCACGTGTGCTGTTGTGCCAAGGCTGCCTACCTGAGTAGGCCCATGGACTGGAAAGAACGCCCGCAGGTCCTCGGGAACATCCTCCACCATCACCACAGCTGTGCACACGACTGTGCACGCCAACTCCCACCGACGCCGGAGCTGAACACGTCTCTAGTCTCGATAGTCCCAGTGGTTCCTGGCCGCTGCGTGGTTCCCCTTGTTCCTGCAGTGGTCGCTGGCGGCTGGCCACAGATCGGCGAGAACTACTCGGTACCTCCACCTTGCTGCTGCTCCCACGCACCGGCGGCCCACGTCTTACGCACCACACCTCTGCGCTCCAACGAGCTGCTCCTATCAGTCGCCTCCCCGTTGTGTAGATGACGTTGGCTGCATAACAACTGCGCTACTCCTCACGAGAACCTCTCTAGCGGGCTCCTATGTGCTAGGCTCGGCGCCCGAACCTCCGGACACAATCTTCACCGGTGTATCCACACGCCCAGGTGGCTATCCATGCGCCGTAGTCCGCTTTCATGGAGACCGTTTGCACACAGGAATTACCTCATCGAGTCCAATTATAGGTGTTCGTCTTCGCTCCACTTTCTATTCGTTTCGAGGCATTGGGCAGTGAATTCGAGCTTCTCCAGGAACATGCTGGCATTCCCAAAGATCAATGACGGTACAACTCGTACCTCTTCTGCGACGTGTTCAGGTTTGCATCTTCCGGAGGTCTGTCCATGCTAGAACCTTGTTTCCTGTACCTGCAGGTCGCAATTCTTGCCGTCTAACCCTTTTCGTCCCACCGGCAGACTTTAGCTGAGCCCCACCTAGTTGTCTTGCCCAATTCAACTTTAACTAGGGCAATTTGCAAGCTGAAGAACATCTGCTACAAAGCCGAATGCGGGTTCAACAAAGCCGATGCACACAGCAACTCGGAAGCCCTCCGGATCCGCCCTCGCTAGGCTTTAGACTTTGGTTTCACCATTAAGGCGTACGGGATGCAACGGCTATTGACAGCGGTAGCCACGGTCTCGCTGTACTGAAATTCCAACAACTGTAGGAGATCGATCCGGAACCTTAGGCTTTCCCTGACGGTATCGCGTTTCATATCTGCCTGTAACGTCTGGAGCCGGTTCTTGAAAGACTTTGACAGATGATTCAGCAACTCTTGTTGCATGTTCAATGTTTTAGACCATCTGTACCAATGTTTTCTTTACAACTGCTGATGTTGTCTGTAGTGGATAACTCCGAAATGAGAACCATCCCACCAATGGAGTGAATGTGGCGTCTTCGCTTGCCCACCTTGGCAACTGGCGGATATACTATCCCTCCATCCCGGTGGTTCGAGGCGGGCAAACGCAGCCACAGTCGTACCCTTCTCAACAAGAGACGCTCTCGCCTTTTCATGCAACGGGACACTGGCGGATCTATCGAACTTTATCTCACATTTTGTGGAGATAGCAGCGGATGCAAAAGTACGAGCACCTGTCCCATCAGCCTGATAGGTCAACCGGCGAGTACTTCAAAACGCGGTCAAGCTCCGGTCGGGACGTAAGATTCGCTTAACTCTAAGAAAGTCCTTGCAGGTAGAACTACCTAGGTACCTGGTTGTCGGTTGAAGAGCAACTCCCACATCTGGTAAGCGACCACTGCTTAGGTACAGCAGTCTATCGATAATCCTCACTTTAGCCTCTCTATGGTGTGAGCGTGGACTGAATCTGAGGTCCAGACAACCGTCAGCTTCGAATCTTGAATGGAGGCGTCAAGCTCACCATGCAAGAATGCTCCCAACGGCCTATCTAAGTTCCGGCCCGCAGTCCTGAACCTTACGCAACATCAGAATTTTCTTTGATACATGGATTCGCAGTGCTACCACGGCATGTCTTACATATCGTCTCGTCATACACGTACTCTGAAGTCAACAACTTATGGGTGGATCATTTCGAGTACTCATGCAGCTCTTCATTTTGTTTCTCCATGGGCGACTTGCAAAAAAAGAGGGGTAATATGCATGGACGGGAACTCCACCACTGCTCAACAAAGCTCCAGCCTGGGTTCAGGAGATCAGGACCCTTTTTTACCTTCTCATTGACGCCTAGATTTTAGGCTTTTGAGCAAGTTCGGATGCAAACAGTCTCTGAGAGCCATAGTATGCCATTGGGGACGTGAACAGCTGGACAAGAGCGGGGGAATCTTGAAAACGAACACTCTTGTGTTCATACGCCGGATCAGATCGTACGTGTGCTTTGCAGCACTAATGGGTCATGTGGTGGTGAGAATTGACAGAGAATGCGCCAGCCGACACCGAGTGCGTACCATTGGCGCCTCATTGGCTATCTTCCAATTGCTATTATTCCGTCTCGCTCTTCACCATAGTACCGACAGAGAGAGAGCAACGACATCTTCTCTGTGCCAGGCTCATCTCTTAGGGGTGCGCTGGTGGCTCACGGGCCGTGAAACATGGATTAGAATCCTTCGGCTGGCGATCGAAGGGCCACCAACACCACTATGAGCCGCCCCGTGGCGTGAACTGCAAATTTCATCACTGGTCAAAGCGTTAGACGCACAGCGGTCCCATGATGCACATTCCTCTTCGGCTGGTCCCTCGAAGGGGCAGGTGAGGGAGGGGCCAAAAGGGTCATCTTTCATAACCCTGGAAACCATGTGGGTATAGACGCCATGCGTGTCGCGCACACCGAATAACACAATACTGTAGTCGAACTGGGCTGAAGTGCCGACCGCCTTTTGCTTGTTTAGTTCATTCCGTCGAATAGGCCATACATTGGGATGCTGAAGTCAAAATCCGATCACACTTGACATCGTCGTCCAACAGAATTGAATACGAAAACCATAACGTGTGCATCTTCGAACAGATCCTATGACGGATCAGCGCTCCTTCTAGTTCGCAAGGATCGAGACTAGTTTACTAATGTTGTTGCAATGCCTACAACTGCCGGTGGTCAATGCAGTAGAGAAAAGCAAATATATACAACAAGCCACCATACGAGCCTAATCTCGTTTGCGAACAAGGCAAGCATCGCAACATGCACGATGGTAATCTCAAGCTGCAGGTACGATCGAAATGCTGGCACACCGTGTCCAGGCCAGTCTGTGTCGGCGGAAAGAATAAGCAAAATGGCCCGGATGGTTTTGCTTTACATATCGAAATCAGGTGACTTGCATGCCAGCGCATGTATCTTTACATGAGAGAATGATAGAACTGTGGATTTGGTAGAAGAAGCATCATAGAAGACGGTTCCAGAACACCGATTCCACCCTGCGCTCCGCCCATACTAGGAGGTTTTTCATCAACTTTGTTTTGCCGCCACTGTATCACTGAGACAGATAGTCTAGACAACACAATGGAGTACACCTCGCGCCGAGAACGCAGTCTGCTTGTTCATCAACTTGTTGCACGAACCAGGGCCAAGCGGTAAGCTTGTAGCGCTGAAACCGTGAGTCGGCGTGAGTGGTGGTCAAGCCAAGAAGTGAACAGCCATACCCTACAATTCGGCCGAAGACCACACCACCCCTAACCTCCGCACACGCTCTGAAGAGAGCCCATCATGCCATGTTACAACTCCGTGTATGCCTGCCGCGCCGATCACGGCACATCCCAAGCACCACGTCGCAACCATACTTCCGCAAACGGGCTGACCCCCCCAATCAAGCAACAGATCTACGACCTAAACATTACCCCAATCGAACACACGGCTAGATGAAGCCGTTCCCCAAGGCCGAAAAAGTGACAGAAGTGACAGCACGCATGTACAAAAACGTGCGCGCCGTTGCGCGAGTCCGCGTGCACCGAAGAGAAGCCGTGGTATTACACCGACTGGATGATCGCTTTCGCTCCGTTTTCTCGACGTTGACACGAACCCTCGCCTCCCCCTACCTGCCCTACCCCTCCCCTGTCGTGAACATATCTCCCGTGTCCCGAGTGTGTGGTGAGTTTGAGATCAGAGCGCTGAGGGCTTACGAGTTCGATATGGTTTTGAGATGCAAGTTCTAGATGTATGACGAGGCGCCGAGTGGTGAGTCTGGCCGTCTGAGACACTGGCGGGGATGCGGCAGGTTCCAGTTGGGTATACTTACGTCTTCGGTGTGCGTACCTCGTATGTCGTTGTTGCTTACCCACGCAGGGAACCTGAGGGGCTGCCGGGAAGTGGAGGACGAGCTGACGACCATCTTCTTGTTGGGACGAACAGGCCGGGGAGACGATGGCTCGCTTGCTGCTGGCGCTCGTGATCGCCTTGCTGTGGGCAAGCGAGTGAGGCCGTGGTTTCTTCGCACTGATGGTCCTTCGAACCCGGAGTGGTGATCTTCGGATACTAAGACCGAATGTGAACGCAGGGTGGAAAGTAAGGCTGACGTGCTCGTTGGGGAAACTTCGGGCTATAGGTGATATGTCATGAGTGTATCAATGCGCACAATATACCACATTCTTTGATAAGGGTAAGTCGTGAGCTCCGTTTCGAAGACGACTCCCTTGCTGCGATAGAAAAGGGGAGAGGACTAGTCGTACACATCGATCGCCGATTGAGGAGTAACATCAAAATAACGCGGTTACTACTGAGACCACTAGATTGGAAAATATGGCGGTTTTCGTATATATGATTCTTCGCGTAAGGTCCAGGATATCTGCAGCGTTTTGCTTCCACGACATTTCCAGAATTCGGCAAGCTCTCGCGTACTTGCAGTTACGAATCGCGCGATCGATAGCCTTGGAGCAGATGTTCGTTTGATAACTCAGCGTCCATCCTGCGATTGTTAGCGCGTTGTCCCAGTCCTGTAAATTGGCCGAGTGGGAGTACGCTTCCGTGGGCTTCACCAAAACTGCGGAACATAGACGAGCTGATGAGATCAGTTTGGTTCGTATCTTTATCCATGCCTTGTTGTGATATCTCCTGCGAAGATTTCCAGGCAGCTGAACATGTTGTGGAGCCCAAACCTCACTGGCATCTGTCGCCGTCCATCAGCGATCCAGCAGCTCAACAGGGTAACCGTAGATGATGAAAGTTTTTGTTTGCTCGTTCTGTGTGATATTCCATATATACAATCCCGCAGTAACGAAGCCTGAAGCAACCGGTACGCCCTCGTCTATATGCGCTTCCTTTCAACACCACCTCTTAATGTCCCTCCTCGTGGTGGCCCTTATCCTCGAAGAACAGTTGTTCGGCAACGAGATATCCAGCGAATGCAACTGTGGCTATGCCGAGGCCGGGGAAGGAGCCCTTGAAGCGGTTGAAGCGGGTGAAGGGTCCGGTGTATCGCCATTGCTCACTGGGAAGGTAAGTGTGTGTGGGATGGGGCATGTCCGTGGTATAAAGCGTACTATCGTGCCCATGGGTCGCCCTTGATACCGTTCGCAGAGGCAGCGGCGAACTTCTTGGGGTCGAAGCCGGTGATGGAGGGGCGTGGTGCCATGGTGATGGAGCTGGCATAGTCAGCAATTGTTGCGCGCAGGGAAGAACATATCAATTGAGCGCGTGTTGTTTGCTTACGTACTCTATGAGCCTCGTGAGCAGCTGGTGTGAGGCAAGGCGGTTGTGGGAGCTGGCGTCGGTGGTTCCTGGACCATCGTCAGTCGCATCTCGACATGTCTTGGCGGCGAGCGATCATACGCACGGCCTCCGCACGTCGTCAACTGCGGTTGCTCTCCCCACACACCATTCACACATCGCCCGCACCCCATCGCTATCACCACCCCAGACGCGTTCGTACAGCCCGAGGATACCCACGACTCTCGCGAGCTTCATCTAGGCATCCAAGAAGATCCATCGTTCCGTCACCTGCACGAACATCCACGGGATTCACCTTACCCACGCACACGCGAATCGTCGCAACCACTACAGCAGCTTCACAATGCCGCCTCACGGGGGCCGCTTCCCCGGTCACAACCTCTCGAATCCCTTCGCGCATCTCTCGGGCCCAATACCACAGCAGCAGCAACAACCGCTGCACCAGCAACACCAGCAGCAGAACATGCAACATGGAGGCTTCGGCGGCGGCAACCAGGCACACAATCTGAACCTCTTCGGCCAACATCAGGGCGGCTTCCAATCAAATGCACCGCTGGGTGGTGGACTGGGCGGAGCCGGGCTCGGGGCAGCAGCAGCAATTGGCGGGGCAGGCGGAGGCACAGGACTCGACGGGCATGAAGCGCGTATGAGATTTGCCCACGGCGCGCAAATACAAGAGAATGCTGCTCGTGGTCAGGACGGCGCTAAAGGCATTGCAGGACAGCGGATACGAGAGGTCTGGCGGTCGAATCTGCACCAGGAGATGGACATGCTGCGCTCGCTCATCGACCAGTACCCCTACATCAGCATGGTCAGTATGCCATTTTCCTACCAGCCGGTCGGACAGCTCTTGCTTGGGAGCTTTGTCTGATGCGTGTAAAGTCAGCCGTCAACGGTGGCGCAACGTCTTCTTTCGATGGGGTAGTTTCCATTCTACCTCTCCCTCTCCTTCATGGACTTCATGCTCACTCTCTGAATAGGACACCGAGTTCCCCGGTGTTGTCGCGCGGCCTATCGGAGACTTCAACTCGAAAGCCTCATATCACTACCAGACCGTGCGCTGCAACGTCGACTTGCTCAAGATCATCCAACTCGGCGTCACCCTCTTCAACGTACAAGGCGACATCCCGCCATCGCATCTCGACATTACAGACCTAAACTACAAGCCAAAATCGTTGCAGCGACATGCAAACAACATCGTCGTCTGCCCATGCACATGGTCCTTCAACTTCCAGTTCTCCCTCGAAGATGACATGTACAACGAGGAGTCAATACAGATGCTTAAGAAGTCTGGCGCCGATTTCGAAAAGCACAAGGAGCTAGGTATCGACCCTGTCGAGTTCGGGTCATTACTCACCACATCGGGCATGACTCTGTCGGAAGATGTCAACTGGATATCGTTTCATAGTGGTTACGACTTCGCATACATGCTCAAGATGCTAACCTCACAATCGCTACCCGAGGATGAGGATACGTACCGCAAGCTCGTCAATGTCTTCTTCCCCAAGTTACTCGATGTCAAGTACCTTTGGCGACATGCGAACAACCTTGTTCGGCGCGGTGTTATCGGATCGACTGCGACCAATATACTCAACAATCTAGGCACAAAGTCCGGCCTTCAAGATCTCGCCGATGAGCTCGGCTGCCAGCGTGTGGGCAACTCACACACAGCAGGATCCGACGCATGGCTGACAGGAGTCGTTTTCTGGGACATGAAAAAGAAGATATTTGACGGAACCATTCCCGACGAGATGAGCGGCCATATGTGGGGTCTTACTGGTGTCGGACCACCAGCCAGCGCAACAGCGCAACAAGCTGTAATTGCCGCACAGGGGGCTTCGCAAGGCTTGACAGGCTTCCAGCAGGGTGTCAACAACACCTTCTATCCCGGAAACGCAAGGCACGGTGTCGACGGCCCAAGCACACCCACAAACCACCCAGCTGGTCTGGCGTCGAATACTCCTGGACCCACAGGCATGATGACCCCGGGCGGATACGGCGGCTACGGCAACAAGTAGGATAGTGGCCATTTGCGGAATGAAGGAGAGTCTTCCAAATCTCCCCTTCTGAGCCCAGGCCGTGGTGACTTGTCATACAGCGAGTTTCTGCCAGGCAAGAATTCGCATGGTGCCGGTGGCCATTGGCATCTTGAAAGATAGTATCCCGAATGTTCCTTTCTAAAGCCGGCTCTTGCTCGTCAGCGACACGATCGCTCATCTGGTGGCCATTGGTATGAGGGATATTTTTATCCCGAAAACCTTTTTCTGAGCCGGCATCATCGTGGCGCATCACACAACAGTCACTCACCTGGTCCCTCTCATTATCGCGGTCGCGGACATCATTCTTGAACTGGCTATCGAGGTGGCGGCAATATGGGCGTGCCACATAGTGCTTGAACGATCAGGGTGGCTCACACGGTGGAGAGTAATTATCCTCAGCTTGGGGTGGTTTAAAAAGGGACTCGGACGGGGTGGCGTAGGATAGTATTGTACGATACCCGGGTTAGTGTGTAGCGAGTGCGGACCGTACTAGATCGTATGGTCAATGTTATTCTTGCATTCATTGACCACTTGTATATAAAAGCGCGTGGCTGATATTGAGTATCCTCGATTTTCAGGAGGGTGCCGGCAAAGATACGAAAAACAAATTGTGAAAAATGGTTTAGTATTTGCTTGCAACAAAGCAAGAAAGGTGTTGCAGACATTCTCCAATGTGAGACATCTACATGTTGAACCTCGTCCTCTGCTTCTCCATGCGGCCCTTCCACTGCCACTCCTGGCCACTCTTGAATTGGATACCGCGATCTATCCTGCGGAGTTTGAGCGTCATTCGCGGTCTGGCCATTTACGTTAGCAGTCTAGTCCTGAGGATAGTCCAAAGATATAGCAAAACTTACCCAATCTCCTGCATACCCACTTTAACATCCTCCACACCCGGAAGCGGCTTGCCATCCGACCCCACGATAGGTTTCTCAGTCTCGCGCTTATCCCTAAACACATAGCGATGTCTCCTCACAAAGATGTAATCGCGCTGATTGTGCAGCGTGAGGACCTGGCGCCCTTCCAACTCTGGTTTCGCAGGGAACATGTTCTGGAAGAGGTGGGCTGTGAGGATACCGAGGGGAGTTTTAAATTGGTTCAGGATGAGTTCGGGGTAGTGTCCTGTGTCGTTTGCGTGGCGGGGCAGCTTCTTTCCCTCGACCCAGTTTGTGAGGGAGAAGTGGAAATGCGGTCCGTCGGGCAGAGTGACAATGTCGAGGCCGTCGGGCTTTTTCTCGTGCTCGGCTTGCATGAGGATTACGAGGGCTGTGTAGCCGCGTGCGCTGGCGAAACCGGCGATTTCCTTGACACTGTATTTGTGCGCGTGGACGTGCTGGGTCCGTCTTATGTAGGTGCTGTTGGGGAAGAGGGAGGTGAGGATTTCAGCTTCTTTGTGGAGCGTCGAGTTGATGCTGGTTGTGATGAGGATCTGGGGGTCGTCGGTGCGCGGGTTGAATATCGAGGGGAACTTTTGCTTGAGGAATTCGGGCGAGAGTTCGAGATTCGTTGCTGTGGATGTGGCGCTGGGACTGGAGGCGCGTTTCCCGGGTTTGGAAGAGGCGGTGTCGGAGTCTAGGTCGGAATCGTTGGAGTCGAGAGAGGGTTCGGATTCGGAGTCGTCGAGCATGCTGTCTGCTTCGTCGTCCTGGCTGTCGTCCGAGTTGTCTCCACCTGCTTTTTGGTCGCGCTTCTTCAGTTTCGCTAGTATGCCCTCGTCCTCACCGTCTTCGCCGTCCTGTTGTGCCGCTTCCTCTTGCTCCACCTTTCTCCTCTTTGCCAGTCTCTCCACATCAATGGCCCAACCCAGCGCATCTTCTTCGTCGCCGACTGGTTCATCCCATACTCGCTTGCCGTCGATGGTCGCAGGCTTGTTTTGTGCTAAGCGCTCCTCTCGTAGCGCAGGGTTCTTCTCTTCCTCGCGCTTGCGACGGAGTCTTGCGTCTCGTTTTTCTGATTCGCGCGCCTTCTTGATGGAGAGATGCGCCGCCTGTCTGCGCAGTTTGTTCTTGGGCTTGATCCCAGAGGCGACATTGGGGCTCTTGGAGAAGGCCATGTTGGAGCGGGGTCACGTTACTGATCCGTATTGGAGTGTGTGGTCTGGTGTGTGTCGCACTGGCCGTGGAGTCCGCAACACGGTGCTGCTCAACTTTTCGGTGGAGCCGCGGCCTGTGCTTTTCCGTAATCTTGGCGCGCCACACATCAGCAGAGCCTCAGGCGTGTCGAGATTCGAAGCATCGCTTTTCTTGGTTTCCGTGCCCGAAGTTTGTAGCCCGTTTGTACATTAGACCGCGTCGCTCATTAGTGTTCTCTTGTCGCATGCAAGAGAGGAGCCGTAGTATATGCGCCGCCTAATTCCAGTGCGCGTCCCCCAACTTGCTGCGCGTCTGCCTCTACGTAGGCCCGTCCAATATCGTGCCCCACCTCCGCCGACTCATCCCACCAAGCACTTCTCGTCCACACCACCCCTCTTGCGATACAAGGTCACCCTGCCCCAGCGGAAGAACGTCGCCATGCCGAGCGATACCACGACCCACAAGGGCAAGCCCTTCGAGCGCGCTGCCTTCGAGCAGCTTATGAAGGTGAGTGCGACGGCCCAAACACTGTCCAATTGTGCTAACAGCAGCCATTGTAGCACAAATACTTCTACGCGCCCTCGTTCGACATCTACGGTGGTGTCGCCGGCCTCTACGATTACGGCCCGCCCGGCTCGGCACTCACCGACAACATCGTCGACATATGGCGCGAGCACTTCGTCCTCGAGGAGGACATGCTCAAGGTCGAGCCCACCATCCTCACCACACACGAGGTCCTCAAGACCTCCGGGCACGTGGACAAGTTCGCCGACTGGATGTGCAAAGACCCCAAGACGGGTGAGATCTTCCGAGCCGATCACTTGGTCGAAGAGGTTCTCGAGGCCAGGCTGAAGGGCGACAAGGAGGCACGCGGCCAGAAGGTCGAGGCCGAGGAGGAGGACCCCAAGAAGAAAAAGAAGAAGGTCAAGAACATCTCGGCCGTCAAGCTGGAGGACTCCATGGTCAAGGAGATTGAGGAGGTGCTGGCCAAGATTGACAACTACAACGGCGAAGAGCTCGGCCTCCTCATGAAGAAGTACGACATCAAGAACCCCGCTACCAACGGCGAACTCCTTCCCCCCGTCGCATTCAACCTCATGTTCCAGACCTCCATCGGCCCCTCGTCCAATCTTCCCGCATACCTACGTCCCGAGACCGCCCAGGGTCAGTTCGTCAACTTCCAGAAGTTGCTAGACCACAACAACCAGCAAATGCCCTTCGCCTCTGCCTCCATCGGCAAGTCGTTCCGCAACGAAATTTCCCCGCGACAAGGTCTGCTACGTGTGCGAGAATTCCTCATGGCTGAGATCGAGCACTTTGTCGACCCGGAGGGCGGCAAGAAACACCCACGCTTCGAGGAGGTCAAGGATGTTGAGCTTGAGCTGCTCAATCGGGACGTACAGCTTTCAGGCAAGACTACAGTTGAGACCACCAAGATTGGCAAGGCTGTCGAGACGGGTCTGGTCGACAACGAGACACTGGGTTACTTCTTGGCCCGTATTCAGCTGTTCCTGCTCAAGCTCGGTGTCGACCCAAAGAAGATTCGGTTTAGACAGCACATGGCCAATGAAATGGCCCATTACGCCGCCGACTGCTGGGACGCTGAGCTGCTCACATCCTATGGCTGGATCGAGTGTGTCGGTTGTGCTGACCGTAGCGCATACGATCTCTCAGTCCACATGAAGAAGACCGGTGCACCTCTTATTGTCCGTGAAACACTAAAGGAGCCGAAGAAGGTTGAAGAGTGGCAATGCCAACTTGACAAGAAGAAGTTCGGTCCCACCTTCAAGAAGGATGGTAAGACTGTCGAAGCGGCCATCGAAGCACTGTCGCAAGATCTCCGTGAGAAGCTATCTCTAGACCTAGAGAAGGAGGGCAAGATCGTCATTGACGTTCCTGAAGTTGGTGATGGCAAGGTCGAGGTACCAAAGGAGCTCATCACCATATCGAAACAGACCCGAGTAGAACACACACGGGAATACACACCAAACGTCATCGAGCCGTCATTTGGTATTGGCCGCATATTCTACGTAAGTACCGATGCGTTGAGAGCTATGTATACTTTGCTGACTGAACCAGGCTCTATGTGAACACGTTTACTGGACCCGTGAGGACGACGAAGCCAAGGCTGTCCTGTCCTTCCCTCCGGCCGTCGCCCCAACCAAGGTGCTTATCGTGCCGCTCAGCTCAAACCCAGACTTCGATCCGTTTGTACGGAAACTGAAGGACAAACTGCGGAAGATTGGTGTCTCCAACCGTGTCGATGCTTCCGGTGCCTCAATCGGCAAGCGCTATGCCGTAAGTACTCCTTTTACACTGTATTCTCGATCAGAATCTAACACGCCCCAGCGTAACGATGAGCTTGGTACACCTCTCGGCATCACCGTCGATTTCCAGTCCATCAAGGACAACACATTCACACTCAGAGACCGAGACACTACTGGCCAAGTGCGCGCAAGCCTCGAGGAGATTGCTCAGGCCGTTGCGAACATCGTGAGGGGTGAAGAGACCTGGTCAGATGTTGCCGCACGGTTACCCAAGTTTGAGGGCCAAGAGGTCGACTGATTGTATAGAGCGTGTCTATAGAAGAACTGCGTCCTAATGAGAAACGTAGCCTGTGTATTAGAATTGACGTCACTTCGATATTGAATCGGAAAAACCCAGCGTATTCCGCTTGCCAATGTTTTCATTCGCTCCTTCCGTGTATCACACCGTGAGGTGTAATTCGCCCGCGCCGCAACTGTGCGTTCCATACTTTAGCACACCGCACTTCGCGCCGCCTTTCAGTCTCACCTTTTTCTCCACAGACAACTCTCCTGTTTACTCTGACCCGCTATGTAAAACTCCCCTCGGACATATGGACGCGGCACGGATGCGCATCAGAAAGAGTAGGGGGCCTGCATATCAGCCTCACTCTGGTTGCACCTCCCGGGATCCGGGTTGTCCGGCACCTTTCCCGTATACTGCAGGATCGCCCGACCGAATTCACAGCTGGAATGCTCCTTGATAGGCTGGTCGGTCATTGCTGTCTATCACTTGCTATGTATGGTTTTTGATGGAGACAAAATATAGATTACTCCTACCAGCACCAACAGCTTGATACCCTGGCATCCCTGGTCGCCAACCCGTCGATTCTCTGGTTCGTACATACATCGGGCGGCACCCGCTGCATCTGCTAGGATCAAACATGACCAGCAATGACTCGTCCGCGTCGAGCTTACTCCTCTGCGTGCTAGGTGTGAAAAGTCTCCGAGGAGGATGGTCTGGGATGAAGCAAAGCAAAAGGCCTCGAAGCAAATGTGCCCTACACATTGTGCAAAAAGCTACAAGACGGTGCATTCACTCCCGGCAGTCCGGTTGACGATCTACTGGATCCGCTCCGCTGGCGCCGGTAGCATGGCCGCACCGTCAAAAAGCCCGGCGCCAAAAGTCTGTGCCTAGAGCCCAGCTGAGACGTCTAGGACTCTGCTCTCCGCGGTAGTATCAGCAAGAGGCTGCTTCAGTCTGGTTCTGGACTTGTGCTACGACCTTTTGTGACATGCTGCAAGCCGGCAGCAGGGTCTGGGTTCCTACGCGCTAACACCTGCGAACACGTAGCACGAACCGGAGATTGCGTTGTAACATAGCGATGGACGCATTCATGTCGCCAACGGGTTGACTCAGTATCAGCGCATCCCTTCGTCAATCATCCCGCCCGAAGGTCGAACATAGATAGCCTGCTGTCTAAAGCTGGGTTGGTAATTCGTCCGTGTCAGAGCCAACATGATTAGAAGTCAGCGGGCAGCTGAGCCTGCGTACCGTTTTTGTGGCTGTTCAGAGTCTGATGAGCATCGGTCGAGGCCTAATTCTTAGCAAACAGAGGTATTGGCGGTCCTGACCACCTCTTACTAACGTGCTGCAACACGTCTACGTCGGTCGCCCGCGTACCATCAACTATCGCGTCAGTCACCCACATAGCGCGATTTCCTCTACCGCCTGCAGATCTTCTCGCCGTAAGTCGCCCGTTTCCGTTTACGGTCCAGCACATGTAGACCGTATACGCAGTACCCACGCGCCCCCAGCATCAAGCGACCATCGCTTAGCATGCAGAACCTCAGCTTTTAGCACCCGTTTGCTAGGGTACTACGGATGCAGCACATACCCAAGAGACGAATGATTTCTACTTCTTCCGTCTACCTGTCATTCTTGTCTTATTTGTTTAACGAGAACTGTTAGATCTTTTGCATCGGCTTTCCGAGACCATGGACGAGGGACAGCCACCACCCGGCGACGTGGTTGCCCCTCTCACAGGCGCTCCACTCAAACGCCGACGGGCTGACTCGGAGAGTATCTCGTCGATCGAGTCTAAGTACGTTGCTGTCTTCTGTTCTTGCAGTTATTTGCCACTCTGCGTTGTGACGTGGTCGTTGGGGCACCTGGGTAGATCCACTCGGCAGTCTCCAAGGATCAACAACGATTGCTGTAGCCTTACGGGTGATCAGCCACCACATACCATCGCACGGTGTATAAAGCTGACGCCTATCTCGACAGTCGCTCTGTCCGCACATTAGCTTCCGACGATCTAGAATATTTTCATGAAAATGGACGAACGTACGGCAATGAAACGTACTACCTACCATGCGTGTACAAGCAACATAACGACTTCGTAGAGCAGGATCGTTTGTCTCTGCAGCATGAAATCTTCGTCCGAGCACTTCATGGCAAGCTTACCACTGCGAAATTACTGCCTACTACCCGAAGAATACTCGACCTGGGCACTGGACCAGGTCACTGGGCTGTTGCCATGGCGCGTCAATACCCGCACGCAGAGGTTGTCGGAATTGACATGACGGAATGGGATATAGACACCACCGAAGCCACGTTGGGCGATGCCAGGGTGACATGGGAGCTGGACGACCTTGACGTCTGGGGAAAAGAGATGGATGTCGACCAGCTGATCAACCAGCTCGCTACTCTAGATCTAGCCAATGAGTTGGCTAATCGGACTCCCATCGACGCGCTGAGGAAGCCCAAGTCAACGGTCGATCTCAGTCAGCAAGGAAGGGAGCCTACGCCCGAGGAGCATTTGACTATTGATCTCTCAACACTTACCCCCCAGCCTGAACCTGGCTGGCACTTTAGCGACTCCTTTGAGCTCATACATTTACGGAACATGAAGGGCTCTTTTACGCACTGGGAAGACGTATATGCCGAGATCTACAAGAGCCTTTCACCCGGTGGATGTATCGAACTCGCAGATTGGGATCTCGGCCAAGTGCCTATGGGCCCAGGGGAGATCACAGCAGCAAACATACCCATGCCTACCCTACGGAAACTCTACGTGGCGTTCATGGAAGCATCGTTCAAATCTGGCCGTCCACTCGGCCTCTTCTACATGCACCACACCTATCTCGAAGAAGCAGGCTTCGAAGACGTCCAGACGACCCAAGTCAACGTGCCAGTCGGGCAATGGCCAAAGGACGAAGCGCAGCGATCGCTTGGCAAGATGATGTTTGTGCTTGGTATGGAGATGTTTGAGCCGGTTTGCTTGAGGCTGTTGACGCAGTGGGGGAGTAAGACAAGGGTTTGGACGGCGGAGGAGTTGAGAGCTGATATATTGGTCGCGCAGAAAGAGATTTATGATTATGTTGAGCGGTCGGAACGGGGGGAGGTGGAGGGCTGGTGTGCAAGCTTCAAGTGGGTTACCGCTAGGAAAAGCTGGCACGCGGAGAAGTGACCTCGGGAGTGATCGGCTGATGTGTCTGTTGATACTTGCATATTTGGGGAAGGTAGTAATGTGGATTGGATGTCGGTATAATGAGGCACGACTACTTTGCGAAAAAAATCTCCGCTACAATGCACATCGACTGATACCGCGCTTGCCCGTACTTCACCGACACAATGGGCTTTTACTTTACAGAACCCGTCCTTGAGTTTTTGAGTTTGCATCGATGAACTGCCAAGGAAGATGGAAAGGGAAGTCACCACCCATCATGCCAGCTGAGCGCGGCAAGCACGCTGGTCGTACAGAAATCATCATGTTCGGAAGGTGGAGCCGTAGCAGTGACATGTATTCAAGTAACGACGCCACAAGGCCGCATTTGCAAAGCTTCCCACCCTCGAACGTCCAAAGATGTCTACAAACCTCTCAGCCAACGAGCTCTTCAACGTCAACGGCATAGTAGCCGTCATCACAGGAGGCGGAACTGGTACCCCACCCACATACCAGACCCAACAGCACTCCTCTAACAACGCCAGGCATTGGATTGATGATGGCCAAAGCCCTAGCAGCCAACGGCGCCCACCGCATCTACATCGTAGGCCGCCGTCCAGACGTCCTCCACTCCGCCGCCAAGTGCATCAACCCAGAAACCGTCATCCCGCTACCCGGCGACGTCACGTCACGCGAATCTCTTCTCTCAATCGCAAAGCACGTCGAGACCGAAACAGGCTACATCAACCTCCTCATCTGCAACGCAGGCATCATGGGCCCTAAGCCGCTCAAAGCAGCACCAGGATGCGCCGCGCCGTCAGTCGCAGAGTACGCAGCACACGCGCTCGAGACGCCCATGGCCGACTTTACCAACACGTATGCGGTGAACAACACGGCGGTATATTATACGGCGCTGTCCTTCCTCACGCTCCTCGACGCGGGAAACAGCAGGAAAACCGCGCACGCTGATGTCCGTTCTCAAATTATAACGACATCGAGTATTGGCGGTTTCTCGCGTTTACCGGGCGCATCGTTCGCTTACAATAGCAGTAAAGCGGCTGTTACACATATGACTAAGATGCTGGCCACGGCGTTTGTGCCTTACGGTATCCGTTGTAATGTACTTGCACCGGGCATTTTCCCGTCAGAGCTCGCGATGGGTATTATAGGGTCGTTGGAGAAGGGACCTAATGGGGAGGTGGATAGGGGCGTTGTACCGGAGGGGAGGACGGGCAAGGAGGAGGATATTGCGGGCGCGGTGTTGTGGATGGCGGGAAGGGCTGGGGGGTATTTGAATGGGAGTGTGGTTGTGGTTGATGGGGGGAGGTTGGGTATGTTGGCTTCTACGTATTGATGTTGTTAGCAGGAAGGTATTGAGATGGGATGGGTTGCGTCTTGCATAGTCATTGTAGAATCCGAGATGGATATAGTCTAGGGACGGTGCATGGTGCTTACATTAGGCGTGTACCCTGAGTGACGCAAGCCGCCCCCACTAGCGCGTTTCTCCCTGCATTTGCAGAGTTGAAGACACACCTCCGAAGACGCTTGCCAAACCTCGACTGCCATGCGCGTGCTGACCACGCGACCATGCCTGCTCCAACACACAGGCTCAATTCCAATGAGCTGTTGAATTCGCCTGGTTTCCTCGGCGCGGCCGCGCGCTTCTGGCAGGTGAGCGAATTCACAATGAGGCGTGGTTTACGCATGGACAGAGATAGCTAACATACATCTGCAGCGCTCGTATGCCTCGGATTATGTTGGCATTGCCATCTTAGTATGCGGGTACATACTGGTGCGTAATCACAATACCAGAATGACCCCTCTCGGTTTCAACAAGAAAGCAAGACTGACAAACTAGGCACAGATACAATTCCTCGCCGAACCCTTCCACCGCATGTTCTTCCTCGACAACCTCGCCATCAACTACCCCCACGCAGAACACGAACGCGTTCCCGTCTCCTGGCTCTTCATATACGCCGGCGCTGTGCCCCTCGGCGTCCTCATCGCCTGGGCCCTTGTCCTGCGCCCCGGAACGCACAAAGCGCACGTTACAATTCTCGGCTGGTTCATCAGCATGATCCTCACCATGTTCATTACCGACGTGATTAAAAACGCTGTTGGTCGTCCTCGTCCCGATCTCATCGCTCGTTGCAAACCCGCTCCTGGCACGCCAGCACACCAACTAGTTACTTTTGACGTCTGCACCGAAACGAATCATCACGTTTTACACGACGGGTGGCGCAGTTTCCCAAGCGGACATAGTAGTTTCTCCTTCAGCGGCCTCGGCTACCTCGCCCTCTTCATCGCAGGCCAATGCCACGTCTACCGCCCGCGCGCCGACCTCGCCCGCGTCCTCCTCGCCCTCGCACCCCTGCTTGGCGCAGCACTTATTGCGATTTCGCGTTGTGAAGACTACAGGCATGATGTTTATGATGTTAGTGTGGGGTCGGTGCTGGGTATGGCGGTTGCGCATTACACGTATAGGAGATATTATCCTGCGCTGAGGAATCGGGGGTGTGCGGAGCCGTTTCCTAATCCCGCGGATGAGAAGGGCTGGGGGAAGGTTAAGGGGGATGAGGAGAGTTTGAGGAATGCGGAGGAGTTTGAACTGAGTGATCTGGAGGAGGGGGATGAGGAGGGGAGGATGTTGAATGGGCGGCGGTAAGGGATATGTGCAATCGTCTAAAGAAGCTATACTGGGGTCTAGAGATTTGTATTTCAATTACATTCTGTGCAAGTCGCAGGGGTGCAAGTTGCTCAAGGCACTTGTGTGCCATTCAATCCCCGCAGCTCGTCCAAAAGCTTTATCCGATCAAGCTCATATCGTTGCTTTTGTGTGTCATCCGTAGCAGATGCACCTCTTTTCTCTATCTGATCAAGCCGGCGATTTTCTGCTTGATCTAGCTGGCTGATGAGAGTAGGTATCAGCTTGGCACGAGCTTGCGACGTAGCATCGTTTGGTCTCGCTGGAGTCACTGCAGCTTGTCAGACAAAAAGACGGTGAAGAAAAGCTGGGCTTCTGCTGACCTGTACTTGCAGCGCTAGACGAAGATGCTGACTTTGAGAATGCTGGGGTACACTGTGACCGGATCGAGCTGCTCCATTCTTTGGTCTTTTTGCTCACTTTGTCGCTCGCCCGTGCAAGAGAAGCGTCCACGGAGCCTAGGTGGATAATTGGAGATATGCTGGGTACAACATCAGGCGCATCCGACATGAACTCGACGAAGCCATTCTTGAAGACATCCAAGACATCGCTTGTTCTTTCGTCCAGGAGCACGTCGAGCTGGAGGCACTCCAGAACATGGAAGCGAATCCAGTCAGGTCTCAATCCTGGCTTCGCTCTCCATTTTGACGCAGATATCGACGTCGACCTCTGTTCCCAGTGGCTGCGATCCAACACACTAATTCTGGCGTATGCGAACCCGCTGGTATATTCAAGTGAGCCATCAGCAAGCTCGAGCTCTTCGCTGCCATCTCTAATGATAAACCCGCGTCTTTTAGCATATATGCCACTGACCAAGGCGATCTCAGATCCAGTGTCCGCAGCGGCTGAGATTCTTCGCCCCTCAATGATACACGAAACTTGATTTGTCGCATTCCCCATCGAATATAAACGCAGCGAGCGCTTCCAGGTTCCGGGTAGGTCTACCATGCGTGAGGTGTACTTGGTTATGGTATCTGTGGCTCTGAGGAAGGCCATGCCGATGAGTACCGGCAAAGCCAGCTTCTCGAAAACGTTGAATCGGCATATCATAGGGGACGTATCTGATCCTACGTCTCTAGCGGACTGAACCATGATATTGACATGGCCCATAGGCTTGATGATCTTCCCGTTGGGGAGTTGGAACCAAGCATCGAGATTGGGGCTCGGCCTGACGGTACACCCCATTTCGATAGCTTTAGCATGAGATATGTGGTTTTCGTGGGTTCCAGTGTCGTAGCAGGTCATGACCTCTTTCAGTTCATCGTGAACGCTGAAGAGTAGAGGAAGACCTCTTCGATGTCCTCTTGGATGCATAGCTTTGGCAGCTAGCCTATCTGGTTCCTCTGGTATCTTTGGTGACTTCGGCAACTCTGGTTCCTCCAGTATCTCTGGTAAGTCCGGTACCTCTGGTTCCTCCAGCAGCCGATTTAGACGTGAATTTCTAATCCGTTCCCATCGCCCATCGCGGAAAATGGGCCAGATTTCGGCGTCATCCTGACGATCTTCTGGGCTTCGCGCTTGAACTTGAAGTCTTTTCGCGCGGGACTTTGGTTGTGTACGTTGGTGGGTTGGTAAGCCGATAACGGTGGTTTCATGCTAACGATCTCCAAAGTAGTTCTTTCATGTTTTCATATGAGTGTTTGTATGATAAGATTGTAAAGTGAAAGTGCCATACCAAGCGGTCATGTGAAATATTTCTCGACATGAGTACTGTATATCACTCGCGCGTTTATCCTAACAGATTAATAGCCCTTGCTTCCGAACGATGCATTCTAAGAGGACAAGAGACTCTGGGCCGAGCAGTCAAAGTAAAGCGTCCGCGCAATATGTGCGATGGCCAACATAAGAGTGAGGAGGATGCGGTAATGGTAGAGCGTGAGAAAAAACGAGAAGATCGTTATCAGTGATTTAGGAATCATGGTTGGCTCGCTGACAAGTCACTTCGCATGGGATGCGGGGTTCTTCACCGGTCTGTACTGTCAGCGAGGCAGAATCGGAACAGGCTTTTGTCGCGCGCCTCCTTCATCGCCGCAAGTCAACAAGACTATCGAAGCAAAAATGCCTACCTCACTTGTCGCTGGTGATGTAGAGCTGTGCCATGATGTCAGGCGGCCATTGGATGGCTATCCGTCACTTGCAAAAGATATCGCGAGCGACCCAGACCGGACGTCCTTAGTGTTCAGGCGTTTTGATCAGCTTGCTGTGCGTAATCTGCTTTACTTGCAAAGTGAGCTGGTTGAACTCGAGGCAATGCAAGTACGCACTTCATCAGTTCGAAGTCTTCGCGACAATCTGCTGATATTGCACCCCACCAGGAACAATTAGATAGCGAAGATCGAAGCTACGAGCATAGTGATCTCGCTACCGGAAGATGCGCCATGAACTGGGAGGCGTTCAGAGATGCTGCAAATGACCCTGCAAACATCAAACAACGGAATCGGATGGATCTAATGGAAACCATACGGAAAAAGATGGAAGAGTATAGTAATATCTCATGCCGGTCCAGACTCTCAAATAAAATGCTGAGAATGTCGAAGGAAAGGCACTGCTATCCGAAAGCCAAATGGCGCAACTTGGACCGCCTCCAATACGCACATTTGACGCTGTTCATCATGCCTCAACACGCTTCAACAAGGTTGCAAATCAGCGAGATCCAATTTTCGGGGGCCATAGTGCTACCCTGTATCAAAGAAACGATGATCTGGTTCTCCTAAAACAACCCGCACACGAGGACCGTGTCACTACATTCGTGCAGCAATATCTCCCGGTACTGTTTTTGGTGCGTATAACCCAGTCGTTGCTGCCCTAACGGCGAGCTGAAGCAGAGTGCAAAGGCAGAGAGAAGAGAAAACGGCATGGCGTACGTACCAGAAAAGAGAATCGCGAGGTTCGTAACGATCGTCAGTGTCATCATCGCGGTCGTCCTGCTCTTCGTCGCAATTCTGGTCCTGTATTATGTCGAAAACCCCACAACGAAGCTGATCATGATCGGCGTATTCATGTTGTTGTTCGCTGGAAGCGTTAGTATCTTCACTGCTGCGAAGCGATCCGAGGTCTTCGCAGCCACGGCGGCGTAAGTCTAAAGGTCTCCATCTCTTTTTCGAAAGCTAATTCTACGTCAGCTACGCAGCGGTGTTGGTGGTGTTCGTAAGTGGGAATCTTGGGTCGAGCAGTTCTGAGGTGCCACGTAGGTAGCTGCGACGGCGGGTGCCTGACTCAGTTCCGCATCGTGCATCATGATATTGGGTCGCAACAGCGTCGGTGTTTTCTGCATATCCCATCAGTGCAGATATAGATTTGTCGGAGGCGGATGTTTTGAGGTGGTGTATTGTCCTAAATCATCGTTTTGAACTTGAATTAGACGCTGTAGTAGTACAAGGACCTTCCCTACGCAATGACGCGTGCCAGGGCCGCTAGCGCGTTCCGAACGCGTTGGACCCTTCCTCGTGGTTTTCACTGCTCCTTGGAACAACCAACATCATTCAATCTTCCTCTGTCCTGCTCTGAGCGCCTCTGGCCCACACTCTATGGAGTTCCGTCGCCATTTGCGTCCCTATGTCTGATGAGAATTCTTCTTTCAGCTTCAACACGATCTGGCCCGCTGCTTCCAGTCGCGGAGACCCATATTCGAAAAAGCCACCTCCGTCATT